TGCGGCGGAATTCATATTGACTGAACTGTCACTGAGACGTACAGACCTCTCATGCATTTGATATGCAGATGTCAGGATCCACACTGACTACTCGACTGTCTCTCTCCTCCCTGCTTTGGTGAACCCTCCTCATGTATTAATAACGTGTCGATAAAGAGCTCTCCCATTACACCCACACCCATCTTTAACCTTGCTACTCATCTGTGTTTGTGTGTGTCTGCCCTCTGTCATAGCTCTTCTATTATTTACCACGCGTCTCTGTCTGGGAAGGACTTGTGTGTGTGAGGCCAGCAATTGCCTTTAGGTAAACAACCACTGCCAATGACACAGGTGACCCTCAGACACACACACACACACACACACACACACACATTTCTTTCTAACCTCATCCCTCCTCTGACCACATCACATTTCCGATCAATATGTTTTAAGCGAAGCCCCTAAACAAACTTTGCTTGCCGGGTCGGTGTGTGTTTGTCTTATTTTATGGGGGATGCAGGTGTCAATTTCAGTGTCGCTCCATGATGCCCTTTAAGTTGTCTTCAGGCGACAGTGAAAGAGAGCCATCATCCCTATCTTTGACACCTCAGCCTGCACGGGCTCCTCTCTCTGAAGCCATGTTAGCTGGTGTGGGATTGGATAGAAGGGTTTACTGACATACAAAAAGCTGGGATGGTAGAGTAATTTTAGAGCTAATTATTTGATTTAACAAGTAATAATGTCTAAATAATATGATGGAGCTTCGGCATTGCCAAAGATGCACCCCCATTGGTGGGATACAGAAACACCAGCAGCACTCCACAGAGATTTTAGCATCTTTCAGCTCATTGTTTTGGTTTTACAGCCTGCAGCCTCACTGTTTTGGCCTGTCCGGACTACACAGCACACTAGTTTTTTTTTTGTTTGTTTGTTTTTTTTTTTTTACATTTTGTGAAACTGGCACTATAAAAAATGTGCTTAAAGGTCCCACTTTGTATAAAGGTAGATGTCCATGTCTGTTTTGATCATAAAGCAGGTCTAGGTTCTATATCCATACTGTGAAAGTATCAAAGCGCTCAGTCCACAGAGAAATGCACACAGCCTGTATTCACAAACTGAGCCTTAAAACCAGCCGTCATGACTTCTGTAACTTTGTGATGCTCCAAGTCCCGCCCACCTGGACCCACCATCCAAACCTTGCAGGATTTGGTTTCTCTGAGTGTTTACCTGAAATCTAGAGCTCTAGAGAGAAGCCTGACAGGAGATTTTAAACTACATAGAGATGGTTTTTGTTACTTAAAACTACAAATTTATCTTCTTATGGATCAACACTTCAAATAAAACCCTGGAAACATGTAAAATATGGGACCTTTAATTAGCTATTATAAGTTTCTTTGTGATGTACCAACAACTATCACTGGATTTCCTCTCATATGGAAGAAAACTTAAAAATCTGCTGATTCTCAGTCAAATTCTGGAGGGTCGTTTTTCTGTGATTTCTAAAACTTTATTGTCTGCTGCTCTCTTTCAATACCAGAGACAGACAGAAAGAAAGAAAATCCCCATTCAGAACCAGATATAAAGTGGTCTTCCTGTAAAGAGGTTCTGCATTATCGGACATAATTATCTGCTTAAATTCTCTCATTGAGGCAACAGAAGAAATTACATTTTCTTATTTCTTTGCTATTAAGTTTATAGTCACAGATATATTATGAATTCATACATTTCATACAGGGTCATTGTCCTATTTTCTTGCATTATTCCACGGTAAAGCACAATTTTCTTTTTTTTTTTTACCACTTAGCATGTCCTATTTTGCTTTCACTTCCTCTCTTAAGAGTTGAGAGCAACGTCTTTTGCTGTGGTCCTGTAGCCTCCACAATTTATAAAGAGAATCTATGAAGTATAGAAAAACAAAAACAATTATATATATTTCGCACACAACCCACAGGAGTGGTGATATAAAGACATTATTAATATTAAAGATGACATTTCCTGGCGTTGTGTCGCTGGAGAGATTGGCTCTTCAGTTTCAGAATCAAGTGACATAACAACCACAAAACTTCTGTAACCAGGACAGAACTTCATTCAGTTTATACGCCATGTAATATATGTTTAATATTTCATTCAGTCCCACTGACACATCATAAGGTTCGCCACTGTGCTGTTGTAGCAATGTGTTATCAGCTTAAAACTGTTAATAAAAAAAAAAAGATTGTGACTTCTGAGAGGGTGAACACACACAGCCTAAAGTGACATAAGTGGGCAGGCTCATATTTTTATGCTATGTATCAAAGAATATGACTTGCAAATAATCTGACATTGGTTTGTTTAGCTGTTTCTGGACAAAGCTACACACTTGTGTTTCAGTTTTAGAGAACCTTTAAAAGCTCAATGTCGCAGATAATATGAATCATCCTGGAAGATACCGAGTATTTTAGCTGCACAACATTACCCACACCTTATTTTACAAATGCACAGATATTGTAGTCATATACATTTTTTAAAACATTGTAATGATCTTGCAAAAACTACGCATTAACTGTAGATCTAGGTTTTGCAGAATCATCCATTATCAGTGTTTGGAGATGTGGTTGGTGAAGTAATGTCTCATCTCGGTGGCCTCTTGTCTCACTTAAAGCACTACATCAATAAAGATTCAGACCAGCTAAGTTTCTGTAAAGGAAAGAAGTCGCCCCCTGTTTGTTTATTTATTTATTTTCATTTTGTGAGGACAAAAATAAAAGCATCAGAGGACGACAGGGCGACCTGGCTGTTTTAACCAACAAGAAGCTGCTTACTTTAAACACAGCTGAACATATATTATCTTTGAGAGGAGGCTCTGAGCCTCTCTTCTGATTGACTGTTTTCTGAGTGATCGAATAGAAATATAGCAGATTTCAGGTAAACGCTCAGATAAACCAAATCCTGCAAGATTTGGAAGGTTTGGAGGTTGGTCCAGGTGGGTGGGGCTTGGCTGAGAGCAGTGACTGTTTTGTTGTGACATCACAAAGTTCCAGAAGTCCTGACGGCTGGTTTCAAGGCTCAGTTTCTGAATACAGGCTGTGTGCGTTTCTCTGTGGACTGAGCGCTTTGATTCTTTCACAGTATGGATACATAACCTAGACCTGCTTTATAAGCAACACAGACATGGAAATCTCTTTATATAATATGGGACCTTTAACAGTGAAAATGGTTCTCTCACATTGTTATAGATACTATTTAGCATCATCGTATTAGTCATTGTGTTTTGCAATGTCACGTATGTATGTCATGTATGTAAGTTCTAACCTCAAAATATAACAGTTTTTCAATCAGGAAGTGATTCCACTCTATTAACATCTGTTTGGAAACTGTAAATGTAAATTCTTCCAATAGCTCCAGGATTTCTTTAAGGATTTGGTCATGTCAATGACTTATATCTTACCCCAACATTAAATGTTATCACCTCCAAAACACATACTGACCAAAGAGAAATAGAATTCTTATCTTTTTCCAGAGCCCAAGTTGATATTTGGGTGCTTTTTATTTTCATTTTTCTTCAGTAATTTGCTACATAATCATCCTGTGTGTAATCCCCTCAAATACATAAGTGCTTTCTTCAGCTACATAAGAAGCACAGATACAATCCTGAGCACACTCAAATCCTCAGTTTTTCCAGGTGTTTTAATTATGCTCTCTCTCAAGTCTATCAACATGCGATAGCAAATTAACACAATAAATGTTGATACCATGAAAAAAAAAGAAAAGAAAAGATGTTTAAAAAGTAGGAGATGCACTTTTTAGCTTTGAGACAGTGGTCTTGGTGTTGCAGTCACATCTTGTCAACAGTGACAAAACACAGAGGGACACAAGAGGATAATGTCCTGAAGCTTCTGTATGTTATCTTTTATCGAAACGAATAAAAGTATTAAGACAATAATTAATTGATAAATAATTAGTAATGTATCATATTGCCACAAACACACTATTGTTTGCCACAGGTTGATTTGTTGGAGGTTTTATAGTGAAAAATCCTCCAGATGTTTGTGTCACCTATAATAGTCCTGCACTGTCCAACACAGAAGTTGAGAAGCAACTCCTGTCAGAACTGATGGCACAATCGACCTTTAATCACACAACAAAGGAGACGCCCAGGTGGAGCGGTGTTCCTTTTTTGGACCCATTTCTCTCTGTAATAAAGAGTTAAACAGCAACTGAACCCGTAAATGACAACATTAAAGTTTAGGTAGAAGGACTTAATGAAAACTCAGCTCAACTCCAGTGCCACTCCAATACCACTGCACTCTTTTTATGCCTCCACACCAACGACAGCCAAGGCCAGAGGCATATTTTTTTCAGGTTGTCCATCTGTCCCATTCTCATGAAGGCAATATCTCAATAACACCTTGAGGGAATTTCTTCAGATTCAGCACAAACATTTATTTGGACTCAACGAAGAACTGATTAGATTTGGTTGTTTAAAGGTCAAAGTTCAAAGGTCACACTGTCCTCACAAAACACGTTTTTTGGCCATAACTCACAAATTCATTCACTTATTACGGCACAATTGAACTCAAATGTCTATAAAGATAAAATGAAGTGATGACATTTCATATCCATAAGGTCAAAGGTCGGGACTTTTGTGTGAAATCATAATGTTCTGCAAAAACCCTTCTGGCCATTATTAAACACTGTAACTCAGGAAGTGGAGATTGTGACAATATTTCTTGCAACTTGGCTGGTTGATGGAGATATACAACTGTGAGTGTAATACTAGTTTCTTTTTATTTAAAATCTGTAGAGCTCAAGGTTTAGAATTTATTGAAATAAATTGTATGTGAGGTGTTGTAAGGCGGGGTAATGTCATCACTGTGTAACTCATTCTTTAATGACAAAAAACAATTTAACGTGGATCTCTTACATCACGGCTGATACCCAATCCATTTAATAAGGTCAGTTCTAATACAACGTCAATACCAAGCTAGTGTATTGAATTTGTGCATCATTTATATTCACTCGAGTTAAAACACCATGTTCAGTTTTTACTTTTTGTATTGCAGTTTTATTCATCAGGGCAGTTAATAGCAAGCCATTTCACATTTTTTAAAACCACTGGAAGCTGTGACAACACTCCCTAAATGATCTTTACATGATTAAAGAAATGTGACACAACTCGTTTGTTTGTTGATCCATTTGTTTTTTAATTGCAAAGCGTTGCATTGAAGTTGCATTGATTCTTGTGCCAGTCCATAGTTGAAAATAGCACATCTCCATGAACTTTCAACCATAATAATCTGCTGCTTGACCATAGCCTTGACCATTGACTTGACCGTAGCCTTGCCCATTGACTTGACCGTAGCCTTGCCCATTGACTTGACCATAGCCTTGACCATTGATTTGACCATAGTCTTTACCATTGGCTTGACCAATGGCTTGACCAATGGCTTGACCAATGACTCCACCAAATGTCTTTCCAAATCTATGGGAAGTAAGGAATCAAGATACAGATTTGAGTTTGTCAGATTCACCAAGTGCTCTTAATGTATACATCATATATTTTTGTTTAATCTTCAGTTGGTGTTGTTTTTTTTAATACTGTACTTACTATTGTTAAAAGTAGCAATTAAGAGTACTTACGTTTTGGAATACCGGCCTGTGAAACAGACAAGGAGATAAAAATGAAATAACATCAAAACAGCATAATAGTCATTATTATGTCATTACTAAGGATTATTTAGTAATGTTTAAAATAATGGTTTAAAATAATAAGTCCTCATATTTAGCACTCAGTATATAAATATTTAAAAATGTATTAATATTAATGCAAACAACAACAACAAACAAAAAATATAAAACGTCAATTTCTCTCTTTTGGTTTCTTTTTTTTCTTAAAGGAGAACACAGGAGAAGTGGTGTATGGAGCTGAAAAATATGCTGTAGCCAAGGATATGTTACCAACTAGTAAAGCAGGGAACCACCCGGGGGTCCCAGACTTCCAGCCAAACTCTCATAGCCAAATTATTATTGACAACTTTTGCAAAAAAAATTGATTTTAAGGCAACATCTCGCTTTGTTCACAACTGACTGTAGCCTGTTTACACCGACTGTGTTTCAACTTATTCAAGTTGAAACTAAATATGGTGAGATTATTTACCTTTTCCTTTCATTGCCTTTCCGATTTTTTTTAAAAAACTCCTGGGTTCAGCCATGAGGACGACCAGCGTCAACACCAGAAAGATCATCACATACCGCATCCTGAAAAACAAAAAATACACAGTATCTTATTGGTCATATCCAGTCATGATGTACATCCAGGGCCAATTGTCATCACATATCCCAAAGACTTTGCATTTATTAGTGAAGATGAAATTGTGCGTCTTACCTTTCAACAGATTGACTGTCAGAGACAGAAGACTATTGTCGAAGACAGAAGAGAGTAGTGCGAGATCTCCAGGTGATGAGAAACTCTGAGTCTAATGGTTGTGGAGCACCTTTCTTTTTTATAAGGGCAGGGATGAATTTCTCAACCAACTCCAATACTTTGTCATTTTGTGTTTCTCATTGTATGTTGCAATATCAAGTTGTGTAGGCGGAAGTTGTTGACCTAATCTCAACTTGTGTTATGACTCAGCTCGATGATCCAACCAAACAAGTATGAGGTAAACTAAAACGTAAACATGGTTTTCCGATGTATTTTGCACTGTAATTTGAAGAGGCCAGACTTCAGGCAGCCAGAGCAGAAGTGGTGCATTCAAATGCACCAAAACAGACTAATGACTAATAACGACTGTCAATCACACGCCTAAGGAGACGGCCAGGTGGAGCAGCCTTATTTGTTTCTCTGTGTGATAAGACAGAGCTAAACGGCTAAACAATCGGGTATCCCTTCTCTCCAGAGTGGGAGAGACCCGCAGCCTGGCTTTTTTTTTTTCCATTTTTATTTATTTATTATTTACTATCTTTCTTTCAAGCACTGGCCAGTGTTTGAGAGAAATTTACCTTATCAGCAAAATGTTATGAAACCAGTATGAACAAGATATTTGAGAAAACTAGAGGGAAACATGAAATGAAAAACACAGCATTGGGTAATGGTGCTAAAAGTGCCTTGGGTGAATAAGATTCTTCACATTGTCACTGTCACTCACTGTGGCGTGTGTCGCTGTTGGATTTCAGTCTTGGTCATTTGTGAAACATCTTAGACTACATGCTCTTGAGCCACCTGGATGAAATACTGTAGATTACAAGAACAGGCACATATGGGAAACATATGGGTCTTCTTCTACAGCTAAATTGCTGTACTTGGCCTCTGCTCTTTTTTTCACCCAGAAACATCAAATCAGAATGTCACTGATTCCCCATCTATGTAAACAGAACTTTTTTTTTTTTAGCATTCTGCCAACCAAGTCATCTAATTTTAAACATCACCATACAGTATGTCTCAGGCTGACGATGACACTGTGGCCTGACAGCGGCCTGAAACACACATTCTGAACAACAAGCTTTCTCCTGTAGCTCATTCCATATAAAGTATGTGTCATCCTGCACCATGTCCTTAAAGTGTATGGGTAATATCAGTTTGCAGATCGCTAATTATCTAGTCATGTAAAAAAAAAACATTAACGTTGTATAATTAGATCTTTTCTGCGTACAGTGTTGGCACCTACTAACAGCACTCGACTTAATTTCGTTGTACCTGTTTGGGCGGGACACTTTACCCCGTTATTATACTTATACGTTGAGTTTACTGACATCATGTAAGTCGCAGTGTAGCTTCACCCAATTTACACCTGACTCTAATTATTCATTAGTAATTGTAGATACTGGTCTAGATGTCTAGAGCCTTTGAGAGAATGTCATCTGTGCTAGAACTACCACGATTCATTTATTAGTCTGTTGATAGAAAATTCTTTGGAAACTGTTTTGACAATTGATTACTATAATTTTAAGTCATTATAAAGCAGCAGTTATTAGTTCCAGTTTCTCAAATATAAGAATTAGCCGCTTTTCCTGCTCTTACATTTTAGTATATTGAATATCTTTGACCTTTGGACCGTTGGCCATACAAAAGAAGACATTTTACATCACCTTGGGCTCTTGGGAAATATAATGGACAACAACACTTAAACTCAGAAACACAATGGAAGAGGAATTATTTTTAATAGTAATAACAACAATACACACTTTAAATGAACTTATTTACTTAAATAATACCACAAAGCAGCATTGGCATTTTTGTTTTGCAGTTTTATTCATAGGAACGCAAAATCAAGCATTGATTAAACATTGATCAAGCAACATTTTTCCAAATCATTTCAAGCTGTGCTAAAAAAAATCACTGCATCTCAAGCCCTTTATTCAAACACAAGACCACTGTTTTGCACTCTTGAGTTTCCTGATCCATTTGTTTGTGGCATTGCAAAGCAGAAAGTTGTAGCTCAAACTCTTTAAAGTGAACAGGTTCACTTCCCATAAGACGGCTGATTTTGGTCATAATCGTATTGCTGGTTCTGCTGTGCACTTCTGTACCTAGTTAGAGGAGGGAATTAAGGTTAGAGCTGAAAGTAGTAGTAGTAGTAAAAGTAGTTAATCTGTATATAATCTAAATAATGGTTAACTATAGCACCAATTAAGATGCACATTTGATTTAGTTTGAACTTGATTCAGTAGGTGTTTCTTATTAAGTTTGTTAAAAGGTTTTATAAGCTTGAGACTGTCATGCAGGTTTTTACTAATTTCTAACTACTAAAAATACTCATCAGGCGTTCTCACCTCATCGCAGCCATTTTGCGTGCGTTTCTGTGTGCTAAAAAAGCAAAGAGATAAAAAAAAAAAAAAAAAAAAATTACCGGACATGAAAAAAAAATCAGTACTTAACAAATGCAGCTGCTAATAAAAGATTTGGTAAAACGCAGAATTCAGCCAACTTATATGTAGTTGATTAGTGCAGTGAGTGGACAAATCGTATATATTTGTTGACACATCTTGTGCATTCAGTTATGATTTACCTCTCCATCCCGCCTTGGCACCTCTGAATGCGGCCTTGGCACCTGACCATATGGTTTTCAGGTGTTTAAAGAAACACTCCCCAGGTTCAGCCATGAGGACGACCAGCGACAACACAAGAAAGATCATAACAAACTTCATCCTGTAAAACAGCAGTGTAACACATTTAGAGTCTGGTTTATAACATTATAACTGCTGCCCATTTGTACTCCATGCCATCAGTTACTCTAGATAAGTAATATCTTGTCTTAACTGTGACAGATCTCTTCATTCACTTCATTATTTCATCAATTTCTTCATCAATTTATCTAAATCATCATCACATAAACTGTTATTTTTGCATTAAATAAATAAAACATAAATACAATGTATATTGTTTACCTGTCCTCAGATTGATAGTCAGAGTTAATAGATGTGTCAGAGAGGGCAGTTGTGAGCTCTACAGCTGATATGAGATTGAACTATAGTGATAAACTTTGCCTTTCAGTGGGTGGGGCTGAAGTGAGTTCCTCAGTACCCATGTGGCATTTAGCAGAATTGTTGTCTTTTACTGCATTTTCTCATGCCCAGTAGGTGTTAATCTGAATTCAGTTTCTATTCTCACAAGGGCGAGTTCTTCAAGTTGTGAGAAAATGGTTAGACTCAAATTTGCATAAACAGAAGAAAATGTTATGTAATTTATGGCTAGATGTAGCAGAATAGTAATTAGGACAGTCTAGACACGTAGCTCACACTTCAGCAAAATTTGATTGTGAAACAACTGTGGAAATACCTGGACATTCCTGATGATTTGGCGCGTGAACTTTCCAACACGATGAACCTCTAACCACACACTCATCAGTGATGTCAGTCCAGGTGTTTTCAGTCAGGTCTTCATTTTCTCAAACTCCTGTCAGCAGCTCATATGTCTTTACCTATGTTAGCTCAAAGAATGTCATTAACACTGACCAAAAATACAGAGAACTCGGTTGAGCGGGCCATGGGCCTGGGGCTTGACCTTACTGACCCCACTCACTACTACTGTTTATGTTTGGATTATTTTAAGCACACTTACTATTTTAAACTCTTTTTCACCAGCTGAGCTGTACCTGTTTGTCATCTACTCTGAGTTTTTCGTTTTTACCGACTGTGTTGTGTTTGCACCGACGCTTGTACGTAAATGAAGTAATTTTGAGTTTGGGTTGAGTTTGAAATGCTTCCTTTCTTTGAGTTCAGACTTTGGAAACTCTTGAGTTGACACAGTTTATGATAAACCATCAGAGAAATTATAGTCTAACCTACACACAAAAAAAGAATATCATTCACGGGCATCAAAAAACGGGGGAGCATTTCCGTGTTTTGTACAGATTAAACAAAAGATATGCAGTATACGTTGTTAATTGATGAACTGGTAAATGGATTTTGTTCCCATTTGAAGGAGCCATTACCTTCTGTTTCCTGTCTTTGTGCTAAGCTAATGCTAACTCACTGCAAGCAGTAGCTTCATAGAGTGCTATCGGTCTGTTCATCTTAACTGTATTTTCCAAAATTAGGAAATATGTATTTTTCCTAAACACTGATGCTCCATGCAAACAGGTGTTAGCATACTCAGGACTGTGTGCATTTGCAAAGACTTGGGTGACTATAGTTTTTAGGGTGAAACATCCCAAACTTTAATGTTTCTTTTTAGGACTTTTTCACAGAAGACATTTTTTGAAACATCCATGTAAGAAAAGCACAGGTATAAATAATGAATTAACTCCATTTAGCTGCTTCAGTTTCAGAGTACTGGTATTAATGTCATTAGTCACACCTGTACTTTTACTACTATGACAAGTCAAAATGCCTGCTGGGGGGGGAGGCCTCTCAGTAACAGCATGCAATTCCCTGCATAGCTCTGCCCAGCCTGCCCATACTAGTGCTTAGTGCATGACTGACCGATGTAGCCCGTTTGCAGTGGGCTGTCAAACCATCACAATCATCCAACAGTCATTCGGTGCTACACATGCTGGATATGTTTGTGGCTTACCTCTCTAGCTGCTCTTTGCACCCCTCCGTGAGGCTTTGAAGCTTCTGACGAACACACTGCCCAAGTTCAGCCATGAGGACAACCTGTATCAGCACACAAACACCCAAACACACTTCATCCTGAAAACAAACAAACAAACAAACAAACAAACGAGAAACGTCACACATCTTGTCATCGACTTTATTCATTCAGCCATCTTTATAACACATGTACTGTAACTGCCAGTTGTCATCACAGATTTTAAAGTTAAGTAAAGACAGAAGAGGAAACATTTACTTCTTACTTTCCCACTAAGTCAGCAGTTGAGAGACCTACAGATGATGACGCCTGTCAAGTTCGTGTGTCTTTATAAAACCAGGATTTAATCCATGTTGTCACTGTTTGTTTGTCTGGTATTCGGTAGAATTGTGTTCTGCAGGTAGATGATGATGTGTTTATCTGATGTCACCTCTGTAAGTTTAAGTTTTTCAAGCTTTGAGACTCAATTTAGTCGAATATGTTTGTGGGACATCCTAAAACAGAACACAATGTTTAATGAATTTGAAGAACAATGTAGCCTTAAAAAAAAATCAGTGAATGTCTAGTTTTTCCACTCGGGAATATCTGATTTATTGTTGGTTAAGAAATGTCTGTGTATTAGGTCATCAGTATTGAGAGTATATTGCCCCTCTGCAGTAAATTGAGCTGCAGCTAATGAACTGTACAACAACCATTTGATAGAAATGTGCATTAATGTCACATATTGTTGGACTTTCACATCTATATCAAGCAGCCTGAAGTGGCTGTTAAATCTTTTTGAAGATAAAACAGTGAGGTGAAACTGACAACATCCTCATTGTGGTCTTAATTTTTTTTTTTTTTCCCAACTTTCAAGTTTGTGACATAACAATAGAACATATGTTGGAATTAAAACTAAAAACAACAATTTGATGATCTGCTCATTTCCAACTGCACTGAAACAAATTAGAAAAAAAATCCCATGTCTGGATTTGTGTCTTGAGCCTGATCACACAACTGTACAATCAGCTCCAATGAACAGGAACACATTAATGAAGAGTCATGGAAAACAGCTGGAGGGATCCTGTTGTTGAGTGAGTTTGCAGATGATCTCTTGAGTAAAACACAAATGTATGTTGCGAGAGTTCGGCCAAATATTTCTTTTATGTGACTTTTACTGTGTAATTTTCTTTTCTTCACCATCCAACCCATTGAACTTTTTTTTCTTTGTCTTTTCTCGTGTTCCTCTGACACTTTTGCATTAATAGATACATTGCATTTCTCTGTTTTTTACCGTGAACTTCAATAACCTTCCCTGTAATCAAATGTGCTGTGCAAATAGCACATTTGTCATAATTTTGACATAAAGTGGGAAGCATTCACCTAACATTAAACATCAATATGCGCCTGGTAAGCCTTCATACTTCAGTAGGTCTTACATGGGGATAAGAAGCCGGCGAGTGAAGCCTTCCTGCTCTGTTGTCTTCTGGTGTTGCGTGAAAGAAATAGAAACAAACGCAGTGTTCCCTTCCGCAGTAAATATCAGGCGGCGGTTATTCATCACAGTTGACGCAGGCATGCTTTTGCACAATTTGTGGAATACTGAGTCAGAGGGGGAATGTTGGAAAATCTGGCTTCAAATAATGTGACATGAATAGCCACCTATACTTGAGTCATTCAACCAAAGCATAAAAATATAGCTAAATATGTCTAACTAGTCTGAGTGTAGCACAAAGAAGCCGTGAGAGTGCTCTCCACATGCTGTCACACCATCCTGAAATATAAAGGAAGACGGCAGAGGGGCTCATCTTAATGTCAAGTCATTGTTATTGTGCAAGAACATTTTATCAGCGATCAACACATTGATGCTGATGAATGTTTTGACACGTAACACCTAGAGAGACACCCATGGAAAGAGGTAGTAATGGTTCATTCGGAGCTACGGTGCGCTGTCGTTCTTTTCTTCAATCAGAGTTGCGCAAGAAAATGTTTCAACCAGTCCGAGGGAGGAAACACAGCAGTTGGTGACAATAAATCATGCTACACTCACAAAATGTTTACGAAGAAAAAATTAAATGTATGTCAGTGTCATGCTTTGTTAAATGTGTCTTCAGGGCTTCATCAGCCAATCAGCCATGGATGTGTTTCTTGAAGAACAAAGTTAAACAAGTTTATTTCACGTCTTTAAAGTCTTTGTTTTTCAGTATCCCATTGTACCTACAACTTCTTTCAGTAAAGTCTTTAAAAGCACTTCTTTGCCACATTGTAGGAGCTTTGTTGATTAAAAACATCTGCTTTCACTCCGGTTTGTTTAACTTCTTTGCCATACAAACCTTAAAGTGTTTTTCTAATTAGTTCATGAGTTTCAGTTCAAGTCAAAGTTTGAGCCAAATTTTGAAGCAATTCCCTCCAGGCGTGACTGAGATATCGCGTTCAACAGGCCGGAAACGTGTTTTGTCAGAGGTCACGAGGTCATAGTGATCTTCATCTTTGAATGCCAAAGTCGCAAAATTTTGTGGAAGTTGTTGAGATCACATTCAATAGGCCATGTTTTGTGACCTTTGACCTTTGACCTTTTCCCTTGAGGCATCACTGAGATATCACCACAGCTGTTATAGTGTCCCACAGTCCAAGCTGATGTGGTCAGATGACCTGTTACATCGAACAAACCTTTTCCTTGGAAAATAAATGAATCAGTTACTTTTATTAACTAATTCTTGTGCCTTTAATCGCAGAAAAATAATTAGATAATACTAATGAATAACATTAAATACATCCATGAAAGTCATTGTCACTGCAGCTGTGTATTCTAGTGCTTTCAGACAGTGATGATCATAGAATTGTACATGGCACCACATAGTTTGAGGAAGAGGAAGAGTTTATTATTCACAGACTCTCATCTAATAACACTCCTGTGTCTTTACAGCACACATAAGAGAGGAAGGGGCACGCTAACCTACTGTTGCCATCTTTTCTCTGTGGGAGGGTTGTGTTTAATGTAGCTGTATGTGGACCAGGTCTTTTCTGTTTAACAAACTATTACAGGGCCTACCTCATCTTGTTTGTCTTCTTCACGTTATTACATCGCAGCTGTCGTCTTGTCGTCTGTTTTATCTTTACTTGACACCGCTGCTGCTCTCAGTGTCTTCTCTGTGAGGTCAGCAGTTGCCTGTTTTGTCTTCACAGCATGCTGCTTGCAAACCTGTTCCTGATACTCAATTAACCACACAATACAATACATAATATCATTATTATATCAGTTTAGGTGTGTATAAATGTAATTTCTAGGAGGCAGGGTTGCCATTTGGGTCCTGCATCCAATTTGAATTTGGGTCCATTATCTTATTGTTTTGTTTGCATTCTGAATTTTACCAGTTGCATCAAGTTTTTTTCCTCATTTCTCTCTCTTTGTTGCGTCCATTGTCTGTTGTGAAAAACCTGGACACCCTGTCTTGGCTTATCACTTACATACTGTAGTCTAAAAACTGAGTTAAACTCTAAATCATTTCTATCCAATTCTGCTAATTTGACCAATGATTGTGTATTTACTGGTGGGCTGTGATTCTATTCATTAATGTGCAAAATAATTTATATGTGGGAATGTAGAAGAGACCCAGATGGAGACATTAAATGTGTTTTAACCAAATGAATGCACTCAATTATCTATTACACACTACTCCACCAAGAGGAATTGCGGTGTACTTTTATCAGAGCTTTGCAGTTAACATGAAAGTACCACCCTCTCACCAGCCAATCAAATTCAAGTGCTCTTGGAGGTCATATGACTCCTGTATTTAGCATGTGTTGTCATTTATCATACTATATATTCTTGCCTGTTTTTTTCATGGAAGCATTTGTAGGTGAAAGACTCAGGATGTCTTCCCTCAGTAGGATACTCCCTTCGGAACCAGGCGTCGTGTAGGTCCAGAGGCAGAATGAGTGGTTTCTCTAACAGGCAGGGACTGGGAAATGTCTGAGGCCCAGCACACAGCAGATGTGGAGTGCTTGTGCAACAACTTGTTGTCCATTTTAAATAACTTTTGTGCGCATGCTTTAACTGGTGCATTGTAAGAAACGTTATCTTGGAACCAAGTCATTACTGCAACTCAGACCCATACACCCAGAGGCCTGGTCAAGAACTAAATGCGAGTTTCACACGTTCAGACTTTCCCTCTGGTTGAACTGTAAAGTTCTGCATGTGAGAGAGAGAGAGAGACACAAAGAGAGAGAGAGAGAGAGAGAGAACAAAAGACAAGGGGTGCTTGATTTATTCTTCCACCCTTTCTGAATAGTCTGGACTTGACAGTGCACTGCACTGTTGTCTGCAGATATGTTAGTGGTAATAATTAATGTCACTGTGTTATTTTGTGAAGGGAAAAGGCCAAAACCTCTGCATGTGCTGCAGTCTGATAATTAACAACTCTCTTTGATGATCATTTGGTTCTGTTGACTGTAACAATACTTTCCAGCGCTACACAGCCATTTTACCACAGAGTTATACAAGTCTGCCTCATGCTCAGAACCCACAGGAGATTAATCTAAAGCATATGGTGTCGTCTGTACAAAGCTACTCTCATTTGTTAAAAGCTAGAAGCTTGTCTAAAATATTGTTGTTATAAGAAAATCCCCTTTGCAAAGCCATTTCAGAGGTAATGCAGACAATCATTGGCAATTATAGTGGATATTGACGTAGAGAGTAAATGTCAAATTACACCTATAGATAGCAGTATTGTCTCTTGTTCCTCAGTTAAGGTTTGCATTGTATGTCGGCCTTATTCCTTCTCATGCTGTGTCATCCTGACTGCTTGCTGTAACCAGCAAGTAAGACTCATCCTCATTTCAGAGTAACACACTCAGAGTTATATATATATATATATAACATACTATATATATATAATGTATATTATGGAAAATGTATATATATATACATTTTCCAAAGAAACTATTCATGTGTAGGTTAAAAAAAGCATGTCAGTAGTACTTGTGTACAGAATGGTCATTGAATACCCAGAGTTTGAAACTCACCCGGGCCAACTAGGGCTTTATCTGCTTAATGTTCACATGGATGCTTCAGTTGTCTCACCGACAGCACTGCGGCTTCCAAACACTCCTACATTGGTTGAATGGGTGAGGTGCAGAGGACAGATTTCCCCCAAACTTTACCTAAAGATATCTAACAGCAGGGACCTGATACTTGTGTTAGCTTTCTGCTGCATTTTGGTATTAACCTTCACCTCATAATAACACATCACCATGCTACAAAATGTCATCTACCTTTTATACAAATAGACGACACATCCAAAATCTCCCATTGGTGTCCAACTCAGTTGATGACATAATTTTCATCCTCAGTTATTCAGAACTTTTTCTTTAAATAAATAACCATCGTTAGAAACAGGAAATCGAGTCAAAAGCCGCCTGCTTTCAGTTAAATAAGCGTTGGTCAGGCTGTTCTTTCTGTTGTGGCTGCTGTCACTGCTGCCGCCATTGTTTCTTGGTGACAAGTCCGGTGAGCAGAAAGAGGATGTCAAGTATTTGTAATATTGCTACAGTAGAAGCACAAGCTGTGGATCGTCCTGCCGACTAGATAAACAGACAAAAGACAAGAGAATCATTAACATAATATCATGTGATATTAATATAAAATAATCTAATCCTATACAACCTATGAGGGAATACACTATTATAAGATTATTCTTATAATTCATTACAAATACATTGTAAGGCCGTATAAACATTCATCAGCATAGATGTCTCCTATATTGGAGTAGGGTATTGTTGAGATGTTGTAAACTAATTGCAAATACAATATCTGTTATTGGTTGTACTTTACTTTGAGGAATATATAAAACCATTTTTCACATTTAAGACAATTAGTTCCGAATGCGTTAAAGGGGTACTACAGTGATTTGGTATTGCACTTCTATTAAGTTGGGGGTGTCACAAAGGACAGAACTTTAAAAAAAAAAAAAAAAAATTGTCTTCAGGGTTGTTTACTAAGACTTGAGCAATCTCACTCTCTGTAAAAGTGGTCTGTTCCTTTAAATTATTGTCTCTGCTCCTACATAGTGTGTCTCTGGGTGCAGAAAACAAGCACCAAGTACCTCACACTGCTTACTGCTACAGTGTTTAAATTAAGACGTGAGTAGCTGTTTTTGTCTTTTTTTTATACCAAGGGGTGAATTCGTTGAGTCATTGTGCATTATAGCGGTGGCTTTTTCAGGCGGAAGAATATCTGCTACTCATGCTTGAAAACTCATGAAAGTTGGCACACACGTCAGACTTGGTGAAAAAAAGGTATCTGATATGGGTCCTGGGCCTGGGTGTGGCAAGGTGTACAAAATAGCGCCCTTTCGTTTGGATCAGACTAAAACTTGTCATGACAGTAGTAGTAGCAAATCTCAGGGCCTGTCTTGTCTCATGATTTTGTGCTGCACTCTCCTTTGACATCTTCACCTTTCTGCAATCCTTCCTGGCTGAAGAAGTATTAGGATCATTGGATACACAATGCTTTGGTGTATCCAGGTCTTAATGAGGAAATAGATTTCAGACCTCTTCTTTTAAACTGGTTTACACCATCTCAATATTGTTTAGAAATGGTTGGTATCCTTTGACTGCTCATTTTAATTGAACATAATCATGATGGTAATTAATATCTTACTTTGTCTTTACTTTGGTCAGTGAAAAGAGGAACTGCAGTGGTTGGACAGAAAGAGAGGAAGAAGGCATGCTTTGTAGAAAAAAAAAAGAAGAGAAAAAAAAAGAACAACAACAACCAACCCTCCTTTCATTATTGTATAACAGTTGGTTTCCAACACCAAACATAAAGGATGGAGTCATCAGACGCCACTCATCAGGCTCCAACAGAAGCACTGCTAAGTTAAGTGGGTCCCAATATAGCCTACTTGTAATGCCAGTGAAATCTGTTTATATGAGGAATCACGATGCTCCCACCCTAGCCCTAACCCTTTTTGGGATTTTCTTGTTATATATATTACTCTGATATGCCCTAACACAATAAAGGCATTTTCACTATATCCTTGGCCCTGTGCAAATGTGCCTGAAGTAAGCTCAGTAGCTTCCTTTTGTTTATTAGGATTATTCATTTGAACTGACAGTAAACATGTCAAATCTGCAGTATAGAGGAAAAATATCTAGAAATTACTTCTATGGTAATCTTCAAAATATTTACCATTAACTAACAATGACGTCAATCAGCTCTGTGGAAGCTGTCCTTGCAAAAGGAGTTATAAAAAGCTGCTCCACATTACACCTTAACTCCTCTTTGTTAGTCATCTAACACACCTCAAGGTGATTAGTAAAACAATTTATAGCCACTTCAGATGATAAATCAGTGAAATTTGCTCATTTAGTTACTACTGCTGCCTCTTAATGCTTAGTAAGGTAAGACTGTTGAAGTAAAATTTTATTATGTGCAACCACAGTTTCCACACACATCTGTGCAGCTCTCAGAACTGTGGAAGCTGAGTCAAGCTTTTTGATGATGATGCTCTCTTTTATACTGGCAGATTTAAGGACTATGCAGGAGATTTTGTTGTGTTTGCATAGCACATCTATTAAAACCCACAGGATGAAAGTAAAATGTGATTAGTTAAAGTATTAGATTAGATTATATTAAAGTAGCATATTAGATACAATGTACAAGACTATAAATATTACAGCCAAATAAAGACAATGGGAGAACTTTTTAAAATGCAATTTTATTTGAATTGATGAATCACATTTTTCCAAAGAACCCAAGAATAGCCCCATTAGACAATTTCTTTCTTTTTTTTGTCATTTTGAAAGACAAGAAGCATTTCTCTTCATCTTAAACATTGCTTCACAGTGACTCCTTCAGGTGAACCATTATAGGTCATAGGAGGTCTAGACAAAATCAGCCCGATCTCGGTCAAACTGCTCCTGCTCTAGCTCTGTCATTCCGTGTCTCCTCCTGTTGATCGCGCTATTGAAGAGAGAGAGAATTGACAATATGCACATATGTCAACACACACACACACACACACACACACACACACACACACACACACACACATTATTTCTTTGAAATATTTTCTGTAGTAACTGAAGTGTTTGTGGAAATGATAACCATAGTAAAAGGTCCTCACCTGTGGATCATTTTTCCAACTAAACAAAAACAGACAGGAGAGGAAAAAAATTACATTAACTCTGACATCATGAGTCCTCAGGCCTTATAAATAAAGATTATAAACACATGCTTGTGCGTAGTATAACCGTGCATAGTGTAATAATATAGAAAACCCAAAAGTGATACATAATATTACTTTTCTACAAAAACCCTGTTTATAAAAAACATCAAACCTCTCAAATGAATCAGTGTCTAAATGATTAGGTCAAAGAACGAGAATAATCCTGACAGATTTCAATATGTTGTCAATACCAGCAATACCAAAAATGCATTGAAATATAATACTCATAATACTCATAATACTCAACCCCTATTGAAAATAGCAAGAACACTGACTCCAAAATCATTTAGTAGTAGACAATGTTTTGATCCCATGTCAAAATGTTCAATAATAGACTCCACACCTATATACAACATTAAAACCAGTAACTGGTTTTAATGCCTCGGTTTGATAATTGATACTAAAATTGTGCTTTTGTTGAAATATAAAAAAACATTTTTACCGTGAAAAATTCCTTTGATAATGTGGTGAATGAAACCTTCCCCAGGTTCAGCCATGAGGACGACCAGTGACAACACAAGAAACAGGACGATGAACCTCATCCTGAAAACAAGCACAAGCACAAGTACATCACAGAGGCCACAATTACATAGCCACAGTTCCACTGAATTTAAAAAAACAAAGTGGTCTCTGAAGCCTCGTCCAAGTCATGGTCATCCAAGAAGGGTTGAATCGAGGGAACCCGCACTTGGTTGTAGATAATTGAAGACATTTCACCTTTCGTCACCTTTCATCCAAGAGGCTTCTTCAGTTCTGAGAAGTGAACTGAAGAACTGAAGAAGCCTTTTGGATGAGAGAAGTCCAGTTGCCCTCGATTCAATTCTTCTTGGATAAAGTGTAAAGTTGTTTTTTTTTTTTGCAATGCAAGCTTCAAGACAAAATATTAAGTCCATACCTTCCTGATGACTGAGTCAAGAGTCAAAAAAATGATGTCAAAGACAAGTCGAATTTCTAAGTGGATAGATGTGTATCTACCCACTCAGAGATATACTCTCTTTATATAGCAATTGATGCATTCATTTCGTCATTCTTTGGTTAATATTTTGCAATATAGGAAGTAAATGCAGACCAAACAGACTATGCATATTTTAGTGCACTGTTATAATGCTGATTTAATCTTGACAGGGAAACTGAAGCCGTTCCACCCAGTACTCGCTCCTTTCACCACTTTTTAGTCTTAAGGTTGAAAATGAATTCAAGTAATTTTTTCTCACTGATTTTCCACAAATCACGCAATGCACGTGTTTATTAATGTTCAGCATTTGTCAGCAATTATAATTTCTATATGATTATTATAGTATCGCAACTGTGTTTTACTATATTGTCATTCACTACATGTTTACACACCAGCCTCCACTCATGGGTGCCCACATTAAGATAAACAGTTGTTTACAAATACATTAATAAGCGTTATAGTATATCTAATTACTACACATTATAATGTTATAAAAACCATTTATTAGATATGCACAAACTGTTTATAAATCCTAAATAAGGGGTTACCAGTTGTGATAATATTTAAAGTAACATTAATAGATAATTATCAGGTTACAGTTACATGAAAGTTACTATATTGTGAGATTATACTTTATAAAAAATAAAACTCCTCATCATCACTGTCAAATAGCATTTTTAAATAAGACATGGACAAATGTTTTGACATATGATAATGCAGATTTATTCCTAATGTCTCAGTTTTCCAAAATTCATTCCAATGTCCCTGAATAGTAGGTCAATATATTACATCAAAATATACATTCAGACTTGAGAGTGCCTTCTTCAGATAAAACGAGGCTGTGCTGGGTTGTAATTGACTGAACGTTTGTCGAGCTTCTCCAGCTGATCTTTGAATTTGTCCCTCCCGGAGATAAGGCTGGTGGAGGAAAGGAAGAGCAGGACAAGAGTTGTCAATAATAATAACGGTAATAATAATAATAATGATAATAATAATAAAGACGATAATAATATGAAATTGTATGTATTTAATAATTGTAGAAGCACATGTCCTTACCCATGGATCAACTAGGTAAAACAAACAAAAGAAAACAGTTATGTTAAATTTAAACTAACCACAAAATATCATTACGTTACGTCAATACTTTATCATAACATCGTTCTTTGGAGTTCAGTATTAACGCATATGTGTTTATGATATACGTGATGATGTTATGCATACTTGTAAGTAATGTTCAACATTCTCAGGTACATCTGTAGGTATTATTATTTAAGCATAGGGCTCAAGTTATTTTACAGACATTAACATCGATCAATGGAAAATGATGAATGGAAAATCAAATAATGCCATCATTTATCTATCAATTCTCTTCAACTTCCTTGACAAAACCCAGTTGTTTCTACTCATGATATAAGTCTTTAAACAATGGTTGAGAATATATAATTTGATTTTTGAAAAAAGATACACAATTTTCTAAAACAATCAGGAGTAAATAGTGCATTTGTTGGATTTGTGGATTATGTGTTCTAGTCAATATTTGTAGCAGGAATATGGTGAATTTGGGATTCACTCAAAATAAACCATGTTCATTTTGATGAAGTAACATGTTAGCTAGTGCAACTGTAGGGCTGACCGATGTAGGCTACTTTAATCATTTTATGTGGAAATAGAGCTCTATGAAACAGAAGAATTTGGTATATGAAACCTACAATCAATACTTCTGAGCAGATCAGTGCATTGCTGTTTTTGTGTCTTTTAGAGGCATTTGTTGACAATTGGACAAATAGAATAGAACAGAGTATTACCAGACCTATCCTTCATATTTATCAACATTCATAACGAATGCAGCAATATGCTCTGTTACTGAGCATACAGATTGTACAGTCTCTAAAGTAAAATGATCCCATTGTATTTGGCCAAGATTATTGCTATTAGTTACACATGTTATGGCAAAATATAAGCCATTAAAAAATCTCATTGATTCCATGACTTTACAGTGAACAGCTCCATGGAAAAGCATTCCCAAAATACACTCCCCAGGTTCAGCCATGAGGACAACCATGGACAATACAAGAAAGACCACAGCACACTTCATCCTACAAAAAAACCCCAAAACAAATCACATCACATTTCCCAAATGCTTTGTCTTTGTTTAAATGAGGTTGAAATATTTAGTTCTTACCTGTCCATTGATTCAGAGTCAAAGACAAAAGGGCAGAGAACAAAGTGAGCACTGAGATTCATAGGTTATATCTGGGCTCTACTAATTGCCAGATATGCCTCTCTTTATATGTACAGGGATGAGTTCATGAGCACTGTGTAATATTTATTGTTTTTACAGGAAGAGCAAATGTAGACTGCCATTTACTGGACAAGGGCAGATAATCAGTCTAATCTCAAGCCCTTTCCTCCCATCGCTTCCTCACATTCAGGTTTCAGGGTAGTTCAAGGGGGTGAATGATTAGTCCAATAATGAATTAATCATGATAGAGAAAATAAATTGACAAAATAAATAAATACAAAAATAAAAAAATGGCAATTTGACAATGTCACTTTGTCCTCTGAAAAGACTAATGAGGTCAAAACTCAAGCAACGCTTGCAGTGCACAGAACAACTTTATTGTTAGATTGATGCATGACCTTCATCAGGCTGATCACAAAAATGCATTGGTCTAAAAGTAAAGTTGTTTTGCATGACAAACCCAAAAGCAGTGTCTGTGTATGAACTTGGAGTGATGATTAAGGATTGATGTCTACTTACATCCTTAAATTACCTGACAAATGATCCCAATGATTTTCATGCAATTAGGGTTTATATAAAAACAAAAAAGAACGCTGGTAATGGGTCAGTGTTATCGTGAGTTTAGGTATCAAAACCCTTGTCAGGACAGAAGATGGGATTCCTCATTATATACTTCTAATGTTTTATTTAGAAACTGAGTATTTTTGAAGAAGGGTGCTCAAGATTTGATACATTAAGACAGTAAAGTGCTTTTCTGACCAAGACAGAAAATATAAAAGCTAGTGTTTTCTTCTACCATCCACATTCAAATCCACAAAACACAATCCAGAAACAAAGGGCATCTAGGAAAAGAACCTGCAGGCCAGCAGCATGAGACAATGTTACAAAATAAGATCATGTAGAAATATGGTGGTTTAGAAATCAGACCGTATCATGGTTATTACACAGACATTGCCCCCTGTGATTCCAGTACATGCCTTTATAGAGAGGAAGAAACAGGCTGTTTAGCTTCATTGAAACCTGACTCAAGGTTAAAACAAACCGTGTCTGTTGGAGAGTTTTTGACGTGTTATTGCCATAATATGATGAAGAATCAGGGAAATATTTTGATTGTGGTATAATTTCATATATTTTCCTATATAGTCTGGCAGCACTTCTACTACTGTTTTTTTTTTGTTTTTTTTGTCTAACAAGTGTGTGCATGTGCACATGTGAATGTGTGACTGTGAAGGGGACGTGGGGGATCACATGTGTGATTCCTGTGGTATCTATTGATGCGAACGGGGCAATGACAATGCAAAGTCCTTGCTGTATCAGTGTTAACAGCGTGATTATTATCTTATCACTTCCTCATGCTCTGTTTCCTCTTCTCATGCCACTTAGAGGAACCACATATGAAAAAATTCAAAGTCAGGCAACAGAGATAAGTAAATGGTTGTTACTGAGTTATTTTTGGACTTTTTATTCAAAGATATGCCATTTGAGAACATTCTTTAATTTCCACCAAGTGCTCAGCAAAAGAAAAATCCCCACATTTGAGGTGATAATCAGTGGGTTTTCAGTTTTCATCCATCTTTGCTGCTCACCACTGCTGTGTTTTTGTCCTGCACTTTCCAGAGGCCACTTGTCAATCAAGCAAGTGGCGAAAAACTGATGTTTTTTTCTTTGAATCTTCTGCAGCTTGTGTTCATCTCTTTATATATTCAGCCGCGGCGGATATTGCTGCTAGTGTGTCCAAGTTCTGCCAGAAATGTTCAAGTATAAATGAGGATCTTTGTGGAGCTACGTGACATTTGGTGTTAAAAAGAGCAAATGTAAAAACCTTTCATGAAATGCTCATGTATCAAATATATTTATAAGCAACCCCCTTACATTTAATGATATCTTACATTATATTTATACTGTTATCAATGATCACATGCCACTTCGGCCACTTTAGTTTTACCATTAGGCCTCCAGTTAAAAGTTTGCGAAATGACTTCCTGCCTGGTCTGCACAGTGGACAAATAAAAATGTACAGCACAAAGAAACATGCACAGTGCAGTGGAAGCAGTGAAATCAGGTATTATTCAGGTAGTTTTACAGCATGTGTGTATGACCAATGCATAATATATAGAGGGATAAGATTGATATTGTCTCTGGTGTGTCGTGTTCAAAAATGATCAATAGTTTTTCACTGCTCACATCGCTGCTATATATTATGGCTGGGATCGAAGATTAAGCGAGCACCACATGGTGCAATTTGTTTTTAAAGGTGGAAGGTGCATGGTGTGGTGGCGTGCAGGACAGTTCGATCTGGTCAGGGTGAGGGGAATGGGCTGTTGGTAGTCTGACACACATGTCTCGTAAAACATATCGCGTGCGTGTGTAATGACTCGACCAAGGTAATGGCCATACCCGTGATATTCACTGTCTTCCTGACTGCTTCAGGGGATCTGTTGCAAGCTGACCAAGTTGGGTCGGTGGTATGTACAGTGCGGGTTGGGCTGGGTATGGAGGTGAGAGGTGTGATGGTGCTGTAACGCGTAGTTAGGGTGTAAGATTAGATTAGAGCAGATTGGGGGGGGCCGGCCCTTTTTAGTTGTCTTGCGAGCGTATTCTCGCTGCAGCAGACGGTGGATAGTGAGCGATGGCAGCTGTGGAAGGGCGTAGAACGTTGCATTTCGCAAACTTTTTAAACTGGAGGCCTAATGTAAAACTAAATGCGAGAAGTGCAATGCTGATCATGTGAAAACAGTAAGTAAATATACTCATTAAGATATCATTAAATGTAAAGGGGTGTGTGCTCTATAAATGAAGTATTTGATAGCATGTGCGAGCATTTTCATGTGAAAAGGCGTTTGGTTAATCATTTGCGTCTTTTTTAACACGCGATTATCATGTCACGCTAGGTCTCTTGGGTGGATGGAGCGGGTGAAATAGATCCTCGATTTGATACTTGAACATTTCTAGGCAGACTGGACACACGTAGCCGAAGCCAATGTATCCGCCGCTGCGGACTAGGAATTATGTTAATAATAATAGAGATGAACACAAGCTGCAGAAGATTCAAAGAGAAAAAATCAGTTTTTCGCCGTTGCTTGATTGACAAGTGGCCTCTGGAAAGTGGCAGGACAAAAACACAGCAGTGGTGAGCAGCAAAGATGGATGAAAAGCTGAAAACCCACTGATTATCACCTCAAATGTGGGTTTTTCTTTTGCTGAGCACTTGGTGGAAATTAAAGAATGTTTCTCTAAATGGCATATTTCTTTGAATAAAAAGTCCAAAAAGTAACGTCAGTTAACAA